TGCTGCCCTCCATCGTAATGCACATTTTACATGCTAGGGTGTACAATGCTGGACTACTGAGAATTCCCAGAATGAGCCAGGTCCTTTGTACCTTGGATGGGACTGCACATGTTGTTCCCTGCCCTGTCTGGAACACTTCCTTTCCTGTCCTCTGTGCCCCCCCAATACACACGCACCCCCACACACATACACTCTCTCTCTCTCCCTCCCATCCCTCCAAATGTTTGTTTGCCTGGAAAATTCCTTCTCACTCCTCAAGTCTCAGTCCAAAGGAAACCAAAGTGCCCCCAGCACAAAGTTACAATCTCCTTTGATGCTCCCTGCATCATCTTCCCCCCAGTGCTCCCTGCATCGGTACACGCCCCCACTAATGTGATCACCACACTGTGTTCTAAGCACGCACATGTCAGTGTTCTCACCAAACTGTGAGCTCCTTGTGGGCAGGGGTGGAGTGCTCTTTTGTCTCTATCTCAGAGCCCCAGCCTACAGTAGGTCCTTAGTAAACACTGGTCAAATGAATGAATGCACAAATGAAGGAATACCTCACCACAACTTGCCTTGGCAGGAGAGAGATGGCACAGGCTCAGGGACCCAGGAGTGAGTTATTAAACAAGGCCACCAAACTTTTGGGTTGTTCAGTCTTAAACTGCTACTCAATGGAGGACAGCAATGTGAGGCTCAGAGAAGGGAGACAATGGCCCAAAGCCACACAAGTTAGTGCAGAGACAGAACTCAAGCCCAGGCTTCCTGGCTCTTGACCTTGACTAACTTCACCATCCAGCTCGAGAGGTGTTTAAAGCTGCTCTAAGTAACTGTCTGGGAGGCTCTACTGGCAGGTCTATCCCTTAGCTCCTGACTCTCCTCATTCCCAGGTGCAAGAACCGCTGCAGACTCACCAAGTCTCACTTGCCACATCTGTGTAACGGGGAAAATCTGTGGAGGCTTTTGGGCCTGTCTGAAGGCAGGGAGATACAGATGCACAAAGGTGGGGGCAGGGCATGAGGTCAAACTAGAGCAGGGTTTAAATCTTTGCTCTGCCCAAGTGTGACCTACAACTGTGATTGTTTTCCTCTCTGAGCTTCATTTTCTTGTCTCTGACGTGGACAGTATGAACCGTGCCTGATACGCCTGGCGGTAAGGAATAAAGCAGTCAGGCACGCCATGCACTGGGCACAGCTGAGCATGTAGTAGGTGCACAGTGAGTGCAGCAGCAGCAGCAGCAGCAGCACAGGGTATTTCCCCATTTCTCTCCAGCGGGGACTCAACCTGCCCCTGCCCGCCTAATCATGTTTTTCTCAGTACCCTCTTGTCTTAATTCCCAAAAAGCAGCAGAGAAGAAATTATGAAGGGGATGGGAAAGTTGGTATTTGGCCACGCATACCCCCCTATCACACCTCTGTGCATCCTGATCTCCCTGAGCCTTCCCTGCAGCCCTGTCTCCATAAATTTCCCCCCATTAGACAGATGTGACAGCTGAGGCTCAGGGAGTTCACCTGCAGCCGTTCTCATCTAGGAATGAGGAAAATCATTAAGAGGCTGGCTCCTCTAAACCCCGGCTTTTTTACCTCAGGCAAGTCAACTCACCTCCCTGAGCCTTAGTCCCTTCATTTGTAAAATGGGTATACTGTCTCTACCATGGACCCGGAGCCAGCAAGAGGATGAGAGTCAGCCTGTCACTGAGAGAAGAGACCCCACAAGCCAGCCCCCTTCTCTGGCTGTGAAGGGGCAGGAGGGAGCAAGTCGCAGCTGCCTCCCCTCCCTCCCCTTGAGGAAACCCCGAACCACAGGCCTGAGTGTTTACAGCCCTTGCTGGGCAGGGGATGGGTTACGTAATGCCAGATGTTTGTGAAACTGGCTGTGGCCCAGGACTGAGACACACTTTGCAATCTCCCAGCCCCTCACGGGGCCCTCCTCCCTCTCCCCTCCCCCCAACCTGGCTCTCCTTGGCCCGGTGCTGACTGGGAGCGTTCAGCTGTATAGCTTATCCAGTCACCCCTCACCCTGGATATGGGCAAGTCCCACTCACTTACAGAGGCCATGGGGAGCTCAGGACTCTGCTTTTATCTCCTTTCTCATGTGGGGGCCACAAATCCCTCCCTCTCAGCCTCCACTCTCTCTTCTTTGAGTAATACCAACCTCCTCCCTCTCCTCCCCCTCTCCCCACCCTCACCCCTCACACCCCACTGGAGGCAGCCTACCCTTCGCCACCTGAGGACCCCCAGGGACAGCAGGAACGGATTGAACAGCGTGGGCCGGTCCCCCGGCATCCGCCATGAGGTCACCAGTCGGCCCTTGAGTGGGCTCCCAGCCTTGCCCTCCGCTGGCCTCTTGTCTGCCTGTCAAACAGGGTCCAGTGTTGGCCCCCAGGTCTCTCTGGTGGGATGGGGAGTCCCTGACTACAGCCTCCCCTGCCCATTCTGCCATGCCCACCTCAGAGGCCCAGGGTTCCCATTTTTCTCTTCACAGAGCTGCCAAGAACAGAGCTTGTTACCCTCTGCACACTACAAGGCATTTGCCTGATGGGCCTTCTGGGGCCCAGCACCCAGGGGATGTACACCTCACCACCAAAACGTCGAACCCAGGTGGCCAGCAGGAAGGGAACACAGGCCACAAGTGTGTGTTCAGCCCGCATGGAATTTTCTGCATTAGGTTCCAATGTTAAATAATCAAGAGATTTAACGTATAATTACATATTTCTAACTTCTCTTGAAATACCTAAAGATGTGGGAACTCTGGACCCTCTTCCCCATGGCAACAGCCACCTGGGGCCAAGGGGTCACGCAAGGTCCCCCTAGTCCCAAGTCCCCCATCTGCCTACTCCCCTCACCTTTGTGAAAGGAATGAATCACAGACTCCTTCAGCCACCTGTCCTCCCATCCCTGGTGGAAACCCCAAATGCAGCCCCTTGGGAGGAAACAGGCCCCAGCGAAGCAAAGGCATTTACCCCAAGTCACAGGGCAGGTAGAAGTAAGACAGAGCCCAGCTGTCCAACTCTCCGGAATCCAGAGATTCACAGGAGGCAGAACGTGAAGCATCAAAGCGCAGGTGCAGGAAGGCTTTAGGGAAGGACTGCCCCACCCTGTCACCACGTCCCCCATCACAGCCCTGACCACTAGACCATACGCTCCATGCTGGCACTGAGTCACCTCTGCCCACACCCAGGCATACAGAAGGTGCCTACTAAGTGTATGTGAATGAATGAAGGAATGAATGAGGCTGTTGTCAGTTCTGTCCAGTCCTGGCTGCTGGGGGGTGGATTGAGAGGCTTTCCATGTTGCTGGGATGGGCCCATTTCCTGGAGACTAGAGGGGACCCCTGTATTGCGATTTCCTCTTTGTTCACAAAACTCTGGCCCCAGGAAGTATGAAGAAATAACCCAAAAAGAGGAAGCACAAAGTTGCCCGAGCCCCTGTGAGAAGTGCCTTTAGTGACCAGACCCCTTCCCCTCCCATTTCGCAGATGGGCAAACTGGCCCACCAAGCACTTGGGACGCTGCTGCTGCTGTGCAAGGCCACGCAGGGAATCAGGGCGGGGCCAGGAA